GGCAGGCAGTTCCTATGAAAAGCAGCTGTCCAAGCAATGGGAGTGGTGCTCCTGGTGTTTTTTTCAGAAGGTCTATAATTTCTTGTTTCATGTAAATTAAAGAAATACAATACTCTCTGGCTACATCCAGATGCTCTAAGCAATTTTCTTTCCCCTTATAAATAGCTCTTTAAATATGCTCTGCTGTGATGTACTTTATGACTTAGCAATAGGATTCATGATGCCCACCGGGAAGGTATATTGTGTTCTGTAGTCACAGGCTGACTACAGAATTGTTAGGAGTACCTCAAAGATGTTAGCTTCTATAAAATCACAGTCAGGAAGAAAGCGAGCAGAAGTACTCTGTATGAAGAGATCTGTAGCCTGTATTTTTTTTTTTTAAACAGAAAGGCCCTAATGGGTAGGGATGTTTTGACAAGTCTATATTGGGGAACGGAGGGGGAGTGGGGGGCTACTTGCATATATTAGCGCAGCCAAAATACTTAAGATTTTGTGTCACGTTGTTAACAAACTGATTCTTAAAATGCAATACACTGAAGCTTTTAGAGGAGGGAAGAGGCACAATAGCATACAGTGCCTGCAGAAGAACAGGAAGTAATTTTAGTTCTGTCTTACGTGAGAGTAAGATGCAAAAAAAGCTGAGAATTCCTTCTCCAAATGTAAGTGTATCTGTTTTCAAAAAAAAAAAAAAAAAAAAAAAAAGAGCATGAACAGTTTTCAGTAGAAATCAGGTTATGAGCGCAACTAAAATGCAGGTCCAGGCCTTCCAAAGTTTAGTGGGAATGGCATGATCATCCAGTTCATAGTACAGCTTTGTCTTAAAGCACTGCATTTTGTGCATGAAAGTGGCCCATATAATTTTCCCCGCTCTGAATGTGGGTAGTATTCAGTGCTTGAAAGACTAATTCTCCCTCTGTCACCTGTACATAATATTTCACTCGCCTCATTCAAGGCACAGGCTATGTAACTACACAGGAAAACACAGCACCCTGTAAAACACAAGTTTTTGAGCACTTTTTAGAAGTGCCACTTGATGGCACTTCTCTGCCAGCATGTGTGCAGATTTCTATAGACTTTCTGTTCTGTAAAAGGACGATTTGATACTGTGACAAATGAAACATGGAAAACGAGCTTTGTCTGGATGCATACAGTATTTACTTGTCTTCACTGAGATCTGGCATC